AAATGATTTTCGGTGAAATGATTGTCGGCGAAATATTACGTCGGTGAAATGATTTTCGGCGTTATGATTGCCTCCCGTATAAAAGCAAGCATGCGACCAAGAGAAAGAAAAGTGTGATTTTATCTTCTAATTTTTAATTCCGACGACATGGTGACTCTGATGATGATAGTCGAGAAATACCTCAACCAAATTTTCGGGAAACGTCAAAAATCTTGCGGATGTCACGAAGGAAAACACTTGCAACTATGAAAATTGATTTAGTTGAGAAAAATAAAAAAAAATTGGTATGTGCAGAACAGCATCTGTATAATGTAATCGGAAACCTTACATGAGGAATTACAGCTGTGTAAGTCGTTTAAACTTATAATAAACACCGTAATAGTAATATTGAATGTACTTTTCTTGTATAAATATTGATGTAATTAGTTTCTCAGATCTGCCCGCAATATGGTTGGATGCCACGTCCGTTGCAGCATGTAGCAGCAGCACATGTGTAAGCAGGCGACCCATCAAAAACCTCAGCAGAGATAAAGCTGATTATTGACTTACACTCACGTAGCAAAATTATTTCCAGAAATAATTTGGTTAGGTAAGTGTGGTATTAGAATTATTATCCAGAATGCAGGTATAAAATCAGTCAGCGTTTACAATAATTAACTAAAGCAAATACTGACTAGTTTCTAAGATTGACTTACTGAGAATATCGTTGGACAGTTCATTCAAGGAATCATTTTACCCGATTCTCTGTAGAATCGAAGAATGTTGCTGGCTTTTTATCGGAAATTTTGGTGCCCCACAAATATATTATGTGTTTCCGTTGGTGTCTGTTGCGTACCCTCAGTTTTAGTTTATTTTTATTATCATTCTAACCATCATAATTACTTCAACTGTATAAGAATTACGTGAAAAAAATCGTGGTTTTCGAATGGCGTAGAGTCATATGTCGCCAGTTCGATTTTGTAGCCGTACATTTATTTTTTAAGAATTATAAAGTCTATAAACTAAAACCTTAGTTCATCGAGAGGCTATACTCATTTCGATTTGCGAAGCAAAAACTTGTAAAAAATGGCGCAGTAGTTAAATTGTTTACCATAAACGGTCGATTCTCGTCATTTATAAGGCCGCAAGCATAACGATACGGACCCTTAGATATGATAGGGAGAGCGACATCATTTAGATTCTCGCTTCGCTGCTGACAGTTAGTGACCTGCGTTGAGGCTTTTGTTTAGATGCTGTCGGTGGATTATAACTCACCTCGAGGTAGATGATTGATTATAATTAGTCCGGATTCCTAAAGCTAAAGTCTATCGACTTTGAGTAATGTGCAAAAGCGTTACACATAAACCAGTAGTAGAACATGATTCGATGGGAATGTAAGATACCCCCTGATGGCTGGTAGCGTTATGACAAAAAAATTCGTATGTAACCCGACAATAAAAGGCCATTGTCGTTATCTGCTGGTCAATTGAATAACACGTGTGCAAACATACATACATTTGCCTCCCGTGAATTAATATATCCTTTGACAAATTGGTTCGATAACTCGCACAAGGATCTGAAACAGTGCAGTGCTTATCGATTCTGCACGGTTTGCAGCCGGTTTCAATGCAGATTTGTATAATCGCCCATTCAAGTTGAATTCTTTTAGGAAACCCAACTTATTCTCTAAACATACAACATATGAATCGCCTTTTAAACCTGCCAAGCATTTGGATCTCTATCAAACACACTTCCCTCGACCAGCTGGATTAACCAAATCTGTCAAAAAATAAACATTTTTGCAAAATTATCATTGGAAGATGGGTAATTAGAAAAGATACCGCTCCCCCTTTGTGTTACTTTGTTACTATTATTAATTATTATTAATTCTCTTCCACCATATAGAAACTCTAAAATTTGACATACACCAATAATCATCCGGCATATTCTCTGCAGATAATAGCTAATGGAGATCCTCAATTTCTCTCACAACTCTTCCTTCTCTACGTATTGTGTGGGGCCCTCGCTTTTTACGTTTTTTCTAAATCGATACCAACTACATCTGACTTCGTCCTTTACTTGATAATTAGTAAATAATGTCTGTAGCTAATAAGACTACTCTTGAGATACTTGCGTTATCTCCAGAAGAGTATAGTAAGCGAAAAGTGGCCTTGATCACCGGTGAGTACGAGAATTGGATTCGTAAAGTAGGCAGTGCAATACCATCTTATTTGCATTATGACATATCGGCTATACCTCAAGTGTGTATTATTTGATTACTGCTGCATATAGGTATCACTGGACAAGACGGTTCTTATCTCACTGAATTCTTGTTAGAGAAAGGATACACCGTTCATGGCATCATTCGTCGGTCATCATCGTTTAATACAGGGAGAATTGATTCGTTATATAAAGATCAGCATCTGAGTAAGTAATACATTTGCCAGTTTTTACGAGATATCACGATAAAGTTGTCAGATTATATCCGACATAGATTAGTTGATTTGAGACAGTGGATTGAAAAAACTTTTCTGTTCGACACACTCTCATGATGAAGTTTTGAAAAGCCTTTTTTTTTTTGCTTCAACTTTATCCTCATGCTAATAATCCTCAATATGTTAAGGTGGTGCCAAGATGATTCTCCATTACGGTGACTTGACCGACTCGACAAATCTTGTACACATTGTCTCCCAAGTGCTCCCAACTGAAGTTTATAATCTTGGTGCTCAATCTCATGTAAAGGTCTCGTTCGACATGGCCGAGTATACTGGCGATGTCGATGGCTTGGGTACTCTTCGTCTTCTTGACGCCATTCGTACTTGCGGGTTGGCTAACCACGTTAGATTCTATCAGGTAACCAAATATTGGATAACAATGTGTTGTCATCTCTCGAGTGTATCCGTCTGATTCTTTATTTACTAAATTGATTTCTATTTTTTTTTACAGGCTTCTACATCTGAACTGTACGGAAAGGTGGTAGAAACTCCCCAGAAAGAAACCACTCCGTTTTATCCTCGTTCTCCATACGGTGTCGCCAAGCTCTATGCTTATTGGATAGTCGTTAATTATCGTGAAGCTTACAACATGTATGCCTGTAATGGAATTCTTTTCAATCACGAGTCTCCTCGTAGAGGTCGTACTTTTGTCACCCGCAAGATCTCACGTGCAGTGGCTGAAATTTCCTTGGGCAAACAAGAATGTTTATGGTTGGGTAACGTGGATGCTAAACGTGATTGGGGACATGCTAGGGATTATGTTGGTATGTGATGATTCATGTATGTTGTGCTGTGTGTGTATTCGTGCGTGTGTGTGTTCGTGCGTGTGTGATCATTTGACTTTGTCCTTTATTATTAACTAGTACTTTCTACCAATTTTTTTTTTGCAGAGGGTATGTGGTTGATGCTTCAGCAAGACCATCCAGATGATTATGTCTTGGCCACCGGTGAGACCCACACTGTGCGTGAATTTGTTGAAAAATCATTTGCTGTCATTGGAAAAACTATAACCTGGGAAGGAGAGGGCGAAAACTTGATTGGTCGTGAGGCGAATACAGGCGTTATTCGTGTTCGTGTTGATTCTAAATACTTCCGTCCCACTGAAGTTGACCTTCTCTTGGGTGATCCTACGAAATCCCAGAACAAACTTGGATGGAAGAGAAAGGTTGAATTTGATGCCCTGGTCAAAGAAATGGTGTTGGCGGATATAGAAGGCGCAAGGATTAATTCTGAGAACTAAGTAGATTATAATGATTTTAGTGTGAGGGGGTATTTTTCTTTTACTCGGAATAGATTCTTTTAGAGCTAAATTAAACCTTTCATGAGACAGACTGTTGTGAATAACAAATCATTCCGTCCTGTCGAAAGGATTCTGACATTAAATCGAAAAACGTTCAAGTGTTAAAACTTTTGCATTAACGTAAACTGAGTCAGTTTGTTACTGCATTTTTTGTTGTCGCTATCCCCAAAGCAAACGCAAACGATTATGATCAGACCGTGTAAACATTTGGAGTTCACCGAATAACGTTATTTATTATTATTTTGAAAACGATTTTCATTGATTACTTGGCTAACCAATACTTTTTATAGTTCACAAACTCTTTTATACAAAGTTGAAACTTTAAGTATCTATCTTTAGAGTCCATTTGAAGAATAGATGAACGATACAATTACCAAAAACTTTTTTGTCTACTACCCATTTCTACTAGTTATCAACATTTACCAAAAAAACCAACTCTAACCTGCAAAAAAAAAAAAGATTATCCTACATGATATGAATACGCTCAATGTCTTTACTCCATAATTATCCTTACTTTTTTTTCTATATACTGATTTTGCATTATTTACCACACCCCACGTTACATGTCCATGACCATGTCCTTTATATTAATCAAACCCACACCGAATAAGCGATCCCTGCCGAGTACCAATAACTAAATACCGATCATCCACATCCATAAAAGTTGGTTGCTCCTCAAGATTGAGTAACTTCCATCCAAGTGGCCCGTAAGAAGTCCCGTTAGCAAAATGTGATGGGTTGGTCTGGGTGGAAGCAGGATTATCCACTGCATTGCCTATATTCCGTTGATCCGAGTCGACACCTGCTGATGGAAGAGAAATATTTGAAGCCCTGTCTTGATAGTTCGTTGACGCAGATCGAGTTTCTGACACATTCTCACGGTTCGAGAAGAGGGTTGTTGATAAGAAAGGACTATCCGCAGTCGATCGAACTTCGTTTGTTGTTGTTAAAGTCCAAGGTCCGGAATTTACCTCTATTCCGCTTCCCTCCTCGTTTGCATCCTCCCCAACACAACCCCTCTTCTTCCCCTCCGGTCCAGTCAAGAACCTTACCATTCCTTCTGGTTTAACTACACAAATGGGCCCGGCAGAACTACAATTACTAATAACACAACGACCTCGACCAGCCAAACATCCGCACCACGGAACAATTCCAGGGGCGTCCATTTCCCATTTTTTCACTGGTGGTTTGGTGAAATCCGGTTCTCTCGTTGTCCCATCTATGGGCCAGGAAAACAAATAGATCAAGTCGCGCGTTGCACACAAAAGAAAATGAGAATTGATAGTTGCAGAGACGACTGCATGGTTTGGTAGGAGCAAAAGATAGGAAATCGACAGAAGGGGTGAGGTTGGAAGTAATAAGGAGTAAACTGTATATGTGCCGTCAGAGTGAAGAGATACAATTTTGCTATTCCGGATTTGAGCGTAGAGAATCTAAATATGAAAAGAATGGGGTAAGTTTTTGGATATAAAAGTTGTGAATAGATAAATTGTGAGAGCTATCTTATCAAATAAAACAGTTACATGTGAATGTATCACAAACTCGTTCAACCCTCCCCCAAAGAACACGACATGGCCTGTCTTAATATTACCTCTTTTCCAGTATTATAACAACCCACAACACTTCCGTCCCTCCAATTCCAAACGTTGACTACCCCATCATCCGATCCAGCAACTACGTATTTTCCGTCGATGTTGACACAGGAAAGTGACGAGCGCGATGGAGAGGTTAGTGTCAAGTGTGGAGAATGTGTTTGTAGGTTATAGATATGTATGAATCTGGTATTATTGGAAAGAAGAAGAAAGACGTTTCAATTTCCGTATCGATAGGTTTGAGAGTCGAGAAAAAATGACGTGGCAGTGAAAAGAGTAAACATTTCTTTCTCGCCCTGATCGATGCGATTGCATCTTACTGGTTTGGACGTTCCATCCATATTTACTAAAATATATTATTAACACGTTTTCGTATTCGTCTATATTATGTTGTTAAAACTTTCACTCCTCGCTCCCCAACACCCAATACAAGTTTATGATGCTCACTCTGTTCGGAACGCAACAGCCACGACCCATTCTCTCGGCAAGAACGCGACCTCTTCGGCAGTATGCGATAATTGCACATTACTCAAACAGATTCCTTTTTCCACATCCCAGTACCGTAGACTTCCATCCACGGCCAAAGTCACCGCCATCCCATCCTTGATGGTCACGAAAAAGATTTGGGATGAATGTCCACGGAAATAACGAATCGACTGTACAGATCCGGCCGACCAATTTTGCTCGCGGATATATAAGGAACGATAGAAGGACCGCCAAGGAGGGGGAGACGAGAGACGGGTAGTTGGAGAGGAACGAAGAGGTTGTTGAGACGTCATGAGATGTGCACATGAGGATGGTGATAAGGATGAACATCTGTGTGAAGGCAGGGCCGATGATAGGTTCAAGAATGGTGTCGATGGATAAGCCAAGGAAGACGCGTACGGAAATGAGTTTGTATATGGATACGATTGTTGTCTTAATGGGTGTTCCAGTGGATATAGTGGTGGTTCTGATGAAGTCTCTGATATGAATTCGAGATACTTTCTTTTCCATATCTGTGAGTCAGTTGCGAGGCTTCTCCATCTTTTGCAGACCTAAAGAGCAAGGAAATGAGGGATAGATAAAAAGAGAATAAGTGATCTATGTGGTGCATGTGATAAAGGTCTGGGTGAGGTATTTTGTTCGCTTTATCACAAATGCGGTCTCTTCAGCACTGTTTTGTATATGTTATACCGCAGTCTACTGTTAAGAAAGTTTGTAATTACCAATTGGCATTTGCATAAAGCGTCCACCGGTAAGAAACTTAGTACTTGTATGCTTAGTTCCTCTGGTAAAGCAGAGAGCAAGTCGAAATTAGCCAATCTCATAAGTATCTTACGAGTAGATCAACAAGAATACTATGAGTAGTCTTGCAGTTCCAAGTCAATATTTGCTTTCTTGGTGGTTGCTGTTGGTCCAGTCGTTAAGCTCGTCACAAGTTGCAACGTTTCTTCTTAATCCAACTTTTTCTTTTATATGTGTTTTGAGAAGAAATTCTGTTGAGAGTAATACAATGGATGGGTTATGCGTCATTGAGATGGTTTTGCGTTCTTTATAAGTTACACTGAGATATGTTGCATACAAAAAAAAAATACGAGTGACTATATATAATGCATCTGCCGCGTATATTGTGTGCGGGAATGTTCCATTATTGTTATATTTATGACATAGCATTCATTGTGAAATACGAGTGGGCAAATATGAAATGGGCTCGGTTATCCCCCTTTCCAGCAGGCGATCTCCAAACCTACAAACATGGCGAGGACGTAGGAAACGAGTAAACTAGTCTACAGATTACGCCCGACCAGCTCTTTTCCACTCGCCCTTTTTCGTTTTATTTACTTTCTTTCCTCAGTTGTTAACTGTCCTATTCAGCCCTCTCGCCCAATGCACCATTCCACGTTGTCCTCTCGTGCTCGCCATTTAAGGTATCCAATGTGACAATGGAATGTGCACAAGTATTAATCGAGAATGCGTGCATGGCCAAACCTGCTTACATTGTTCCACTAGAGTTGCCTTATTGTAAAATAGAGTTGGGAGATGGACCTTCTTATATATAGCATTGGGAACATAAAAAGTATTATCGACGGAGCAGACGAGAAAAAAAAAAAGAAAAAAAAAGGAGGTCCTTTGCGCCGAATAAATTGAGATGTTGTTAGAATATCTAATGGTATTATATTATTATTATAATTATTGGGGTTTCAGGGGTTACATTGTTAACGTTGTTACAAGAAACGTAATCACAGTAGTTGTATTTTCGTTTGCCCCGATTAATCACTTCCGAAAGTATAGATTATAATTATGCAAGGGCTTTAAAAAGTTTTTTCCCCCTTCAAACTGAACATGTGAAAGCACACACAATGTTGGTCTGCATCCACACACAGAGCAGCGTACGACACGTTATAAATGTTGATATTGCAAATTATCGAATATCGCCATCATCATCGGTACCCGGTATTTTTACCGTACAATTTCTCAACCTGACAAGCAACCTTCAAGTCTCAGTCACATGATTACCTTTACGACATAATCATGTCATGTTTCGTCAAAATTAGGTCATTTAGTTATCTTGAGTTTTGGTCGTTTATGTGATTGTCAAAGTTTCAAAAAAAGTTTTGTTTTTTCTTTTATCTGGGGTCTTCCTTAACTAACGATCATCTCATCGTGAACAATATATACACTGCCTGCGACTGTAATAGTCCTAATTATAATACTTTAAATTTGCCGTTGAACAACAAAAAAAAATTTTTTTTACGTTGCACATGGAAACCTTGCATAGAAAATAAATTAAAAATGAAAAATCAGGCAAAGTAAAGTCTTACTGCGTAAACTAAAATTTGTATCGTGAAGGCTACAACAGCTTTTCCTTCACCCGGTAACTTGTAAATTTTAAATACATGAAAACTTTGGATCATTAAAGACTCTATATATACTAACGCATAAAGTAATTTTTGATAATTAATATTAAGATTTAGATAAATTATCTAGTTTCATTGTTTTTACCGAAATTTTGGAAAAATATTTTCAAATCAACAAATCAGCATTACTTTTCTTTCCTCGCTATATGGAAAAGCTCACAATTATATTTGTCTAGCTATAAATATAAAGACAACAGCTAACGTATTCTGTAACTCAAAGCAGTTCCTTTGTATTGTTTTTTCGAGAAGCTGGCTTCCATATCATTTTAATACTCATGTTTCAATTTTCTCATCAGTAGTCAATACGTTTTTAGTAACTCAAGCATATTCATATGTCGATCATTGTGACTTACAATTGTATTTGCATTCCTCACAAATTAAATACTCAAAGCATTATGTCAGGCGATGTTTTTTACTCACAATTGTATTTGTATCTCTGCGCCAATAGAGGAATTATTATTAACAAGCCATTGATAACTTATTCACAAGGAAAGCTCTTTATTCAAAACGTTTTATATAATCGACACATATCACAGTGATAGTTTAACTGGTCATTTTTATTTTTTTATTTACTTTCTTGTCCTTTTATTTTCGAGCAGACTTTTTTGTCGTTCAGCAGAAATTTCACGATCGTATTCTCCGGTATTTACTTTTAAGTTTCGAGTCTCTCGACTACCGATAATACTATAACAAACGTGACTTACACAGTTCGATGCGCTTGTCGCAAAGCTGCAGTTATTTGTAACTTAAACTTCCATTCGCATACCCAACACTGCAGTAATTGTCACGTGTATTAAATGTATACAATATAATATACCACAAATTACTTGCGCTTATATAGATTATTCACTTTTTATGCTAAAATTATAATGTTAGCATATATTGTAATAAAAGCAATTGTTTAAACTACTTATTGAATTACTTTTATTCCTAACCTGGTGTACAGATCTCATCGCAATTTTTTAGTTTATACGAAATATCTTTACTACTAAAGGGGAATACGTTAATCAAAAATATTGTTATCTATGGTGTCACTTTCACCATAACCTGTCTATAAGCATAACTTAATGCAAATCTGTGCATTATATACAGCATAGTAAATGAAAATGTGCTCTTTTAAATCATACGTTTACAGTACACGTATTAGCATGCAATTTGTTCTGAGATGTCTTGCAAATGAATAATAGTGTCGTATGTCAATTTGGAATTTATGTCAATTTGGAATTATGTCAATCTAGAATTGACATATGTCAAATTGGAATAATCAATGAAGGCAATGTATTTTATTATTTATTATTAAGACTATAGTATGTGTTAACCATACCATAATGTATCATATACTCAATTTCATGCTTCTCATATCAAACGCTAATTTGTTTCAGCATAGCAAATATAAGTGAGTTGAGCTTGTTACAATCCGAACTTTTTGCTTGCAAAAAATTTAGGAATAATACTGTTACTAATCAGAGAGCCATTTGGTTTTTTCCCCGGCGACCTATCCTCTGACAAATATAGCGTATAATCATCTGAGAATCAATTTTCGACGATAAGTTTATTAGATTCGAATAATGTATTACATTATTAGGTACATATCTTTATGTGCTATTGCGATTTACTTCACGCAGTTCTATAGTTAAAATACTGAAGGCAAACTAGCATTTACAAACTTGTAAGAAATATGGTTATGCCATATTTAAATTGCATCTATGTTTAGGTATCTACCTACAAGAAAATATTATTTCCTTCTTTTACTTATTTATCGCTATGGTAAATTAACTACTAGTGATAATTCCTTACACTATCCTCTCCTTATTATGACAATCTATTCATGCGAGGACTTGCCCGATGTGTGTCATCATTTAGTGTAGAGGCAAATGTCTTCAACTATCAAAATAATGTCTGAATTTAGCATTGAAACTGGTGTCAAGTATCGGAGCATTCGTATCACATTATTAGTGTAAAGTTTTAGTCTCATTTATCTGTCAGATTGTATGTAAT